TTAACCAGTCCTGTCTGCAGTTGCTTATACTTTTTATGTATCATGACCTTGCTTGTGCCCTTAATTTCTGCTGGAGATGCTCATCTCCTTGCATTATAACCAATGAATCAATTTTATTTTCTCTGCTGAAGGTGTGTGTGGGAAACTAGTTAGCCCCACACTCCTTATCTCTGGTAAGAAAACTCCTACAGTTTTTCTCTCTTTGTAACAGTCTGTTGATTGTGTATGTCAGCCGTACATTTGTGGGCACTGAAGGATTTGATTTTACTTCTCTTTGCTCAGTGATATCTAGAAAGTGACTACTTGAAGGGCTACTGAGAAGTGGAGATCTTGTCAATATGTTTTATAATATGCTATTTTTATGTAATTACAACACAACCTTGTGAATAGAAGAGGCATTTTTCTTCCTTAGGTACTCTTTTTGGATGGTATATGCATCTGCATTCCCGAGGCCTCAGAACTGCAGTAAGCAACATTGCTCCATATTGCCTGTTGTGCGTGCCCAGATTTAGTACTCTTATATAAACTGTTTGCCGGGAAATAAAAGTAATAATGTGTCTAAGTGTTTGATGGCAATGGCTGTTGTGCTCACTTCTGTTGGTCTGGGCAGTCCTCTGCCATTGAGAGTAATTCAGATGTGTGCCATAATGAAGCACAGGCTGGGAAGGATCAGAGTTGCCTAAGGGATGAGAAAGGAACATCACTGACTTGCTCAGGGTCACAATGACTTCAGCACTTGAGGAGTGCTTATGCACTGAAAATGCTGGCCAGGGTCACCACCCTGAGCAAAGGGACTCTCAGAGGGAAAAGCAGTGGCCAAGATGGGCTTTGGTCCATCAACACTGGAACACGGCAGTCCATGGGGACTGTCATGACTTAACTGTCAATGACTCCTGAACTTCCTCTATGAAGCTCATTCCCCTTGACACACTCTGACTGAGTGTTATGTCTGCCCTAAGGATTTTGTATTGCAGTTCATAAGGAAAATTTGACACCACTTCTCTGGTAGGAAAAGCGTTTAATTTCCCTGAGAGAAAATAAAGACAAGTAACTATAATAACAGGGCATGCAGTAATTCACTGTCAAATGCTTATAGTGTCTTTAGTGAGAATTATTCTGCAACTGGTATTTCCAAATCAAGTGCAAAAACGTTTCAGGTGCACCTTCCAGCAAATATTTGCATATCAAAATAGATTACCTGTTCATTTAATTTCAGATCCATAATCAAGATCAGCATTGCCTCTCTTAACTTGCACTGTCCTCTCCTGAGATAGATGTCCAAGGCACTAAGCCCCTGAGAAGATGTCAGCTCTCAGATTAGTACAGCCCTGTTTAATTTGTCTCTGTATCCGTATAAGCCCAATATCCATTTTCCTTTTACCTTCTAGGACCCTCTGAATAAGCAAACATTTCAAACATATGCAGGAGAATGTTGCAGCTTCTATTATTATAGAAGAATTAGACCTGTATTTTTGCAGAGAGGTCCCTGAATAGCTTCAGGCTGCAGACGTTAGGAGCAAAGGAAACAAGGAGAGTCGGGTTGAAGTTAGGGCTCAGGTAGTGCCGAGTATTGCAATTCACTGCTTCAAGATTTAGCTTTATGCTCTGCAAGAGGATTAAGGTGGGATGTTTGATGAGTCTCTGAACATGGCATCATGCTTCACATGGCTCTTTGAAAAAAAAAAAGGCAGCAAAATAATCACATATGTGTGGGCCAACAGGGTTGAGATTGGTCAATCAGTGTACAAATAGATTCTTTGTCCTTATTGTTTTGAAAGCAACAGCTGGTTTTCCTGTGACACCACTGCATGCATCAAAGCTTTAATAGGTAAATAATTAAGAGTTAGAATGAAAGATGTCCAAGTCCAAAAGCAAAGCACCTTCTGCAAAGTAATGATGTAAACCAGAGGGTGGAAGAATACAGTGTTTGTGATAAATATTCCCTGTTGGTTTAAGAATAGGTGCTTTGTTTTTCATTACATACCACACTGGAGATGTGTCATCTTTAATCCATTTCTGTCAAGCTCAGTTGTCAGAAAGAGTGAAATTGCTTTCCAAAAAGACATAGCTGCTAATCCCTAAAAACGCACTGTGACCACATTCTTGTCCTTCCAGCTCTCTAATCAATGTTTCCTTCTGCAAAGTTGCCCTTGCACCTGGGAAACAGCCTCTTATTATTAATAGAAAAGATAAAAAGCACAATTTTTTTCTATTCTTGTTTTGAGGAGAGAAACACCTTTTTAGATATTTGTTTATTTTGTAACTTAGTGTCACGGTGTTTCACCAGTCAACTGAAAACTCATCAACTTTTCAGTATGAATAAGAGGAAAAGACTGTTTGATGTAGTCTGCTTTCTTTTGAGCCTGTCCTATAGTGCTTTAAAAGAGCCCCCAAATGGTGAAACTTGTAATTTTAAAACTCAAGTCTTCCTTACTGAGTTTTCAGAACAATAAATGGGATTGCTGGAAGAGCTATATTACTTTTTCACAGAATAATACTGTGTATTCAGAGGAAGCTGGCTAAAAATCAGATTTCTTTGACAAAAGATACAAAGTTTGCTTTTTTTAAATAAAGAATTCATTAGTATTATTGAATGCACTTATATTTCCTTTAACTATAAATGATTTCTTCTTACTTGGTTCTTCAGACTTCAAAGGCTTTCAAGGTTAGGTAAAAGCAGGTATACATTAGAAACCTGAATATTGTGGAGGTGTTAATATGTGGTAGAGTTTTTTTAATCTAAGCGATCAGGACCCATTAACCTCTCTTTTCCTTTGGTAAAGAGGTTTGTAGATTGACTATTAAATTGCAAGAAAATTCAGGGTGGATTATTTCATTCACGCAGTGACTGATGCTCCTCAACTGGGCAACTGTTTGTCCAGTTGAGCAAGATGGGTATGGAAATGTTTTCTCAGATGCCCTCACAAGGCAGACCTGGGTGAGAGACAGTCTCTGGTGTGCTAGACGAATAAATAACTAGACACTGGGGCCATAACAGAGGCCCTGGGTAGCCTGGCTCTTGGTTCCAATACCTGCAGAAAGAGTTGTATGTTCGAATCACATATGGGTGAGGATGTGCTGACACCATTAAAATAAACATTCTTCCATGGTGCTAAACATGTGATGTGAAAATTGCCTTGAATCGTAGATATACAGCAGCCATTACACACTCACCTATGGTAAACCAGGGTTTTCATAATAAAATATTATTCATGCAGATACTAATCTGTGTTTAGTGACAGCACAACACTTCATTTACATTTACCTATAGAACACTGGAACAGGGATACAGTGTGTTTCTCTAAAAGCTTTCATGAATGTTAATGATGGGGCATATTGCTAGAAGACAAAACTTGTGCCTAGGAAAACAGAAGAGGAAAGCTAATAAAGCATCATGTGGAAAATATTAGCTTGCTGGAAAACTCTTTATAGTTTGAATTAATTTTTAGTTCAGCAGCACTTTGTAAACTATAAATAAATAGTCTCTTGCTTTCCTGTAGCTTCCTTCTTCTTATGGTATGCTTTAGAAATCTTCACATTCAGTGATTTTTATTATATTTAGCTACCACTGCAGGCTCTTTTTCAGAGAACTGCTTTTGTATCAGGCTGTTTTATTTCTGTTCCTAATGTGATAAAAGCCAATTTAGAATCACTTCCTTTATACATATACTAGATATTTTGTACAATATACTAGATATTTGTTACAAAATACAAGATATTTTGGTGATAATAGCATCTTTTAAAAAAGATGACCATCTGGCTTTATTCACTTCTGCTTTCAGTGTCTTTTCCAGCTCAACTTTCCCTATGGAAAGATTAAAATACTGAGATAATTTTCAGTCGTGCCTGCTGCAAAGATGTGGTAGCGGTGTTATAAGGCTCAGCCTTAAGGCCTTTTCCAAACTGGATATCCAGATATAGGCTGCCGAGTTGTGTACAGGATGATCTGCCACTTTGATTTGCTCCCACAATGCCTCCATGCACCACCAGGAAGCCTGAGCTGCTGCCTGCTCTTTTACAGGTTGGCATTTCAAGGCAAGAGCAGGCCACAGAAATGCAGAGCTTCAGAGCCTGAAGGCTTAACTTTAGGTTACTGAATTTGAAAGTCTTGGAAATACTTTGGGAAAGATGAGACTCACCCATCTGGAGGATCACAGTAGAAACCCAGTTGCAAGCTGCAAGGTGAACATGGTAGGACCTGCATGTTGGGCAGCATCTGCAGGTTTACCAGGAAGTGACTATGAGATATGCTTTGAGCCCACAGGCTGAACAATGATGCTCACACAGTCATTGTCAAGCAGGCCAGGAAGGATCCATCAGTTCATCTGAGTTATTTTTTACACAGCCTCTGTCAAAACTGTTGTCTTGTAGGCCCGATGTCCCTGTATCTTCTTATATTTGCAGGGTTGCCTGGGGAAGTATCACAGTGTAGATTCCATGCATGCCATCCGCATCCCACCCAGGAAGTAGGAGCTGCATTTTGTTATAAGATTTCTTTAGTGTTATATTATAACTTTGAGGGACTGGAGGGAGGTGGTCTGTGATTTACACCGTTTTCCCACACACCCATGCCAGGAACTTAACTTACCTGTTCAAATCACATGGAAATGGCCCTGAAAACAAGAGAGGGTGGAATAATACTGAAAGATGTGTGAAGGTGTGGGAAGTTGGATTTATTGCTATTTGTGAAGCCACTTAACACCATTCAAAGCAGTTTTGGCTGGTCAACAACCCATTGGTGAATCTCAAAATATATGCCATGTTTATCTGAAATAGCCATCTGTCAAGTATCGCTTGTTTTTACATAGTGTTTGCTCTTACCCCTCATTTACTACAGGAACCAAAACCCTTTTCTCTCCCAGTCCATGTAATGAAAGATCAACTAATAAGCAGGAAGGTAAATGATTCCTGAAACACATCCTTTGCCTAAGCTAACTGTTGAGTAGAAACCATGATCCTAGCAACTGGAATGATTCTGGAAACACATGCCTTGAACAGACTTAAAGCTGCAGCTATTTTAATCGAGGGATTAACAGATACATAAGTAATTTTGGCAAGTTACCCTCCCACATGAACTTTTTTAAACTTGAAGATTGCTAAAACAAGACACACAATAAACATGAAATGAAAACAGTCCCAGTCGCTGAATTTAGAAAGTAGCCAACAGTCTGGGCTCACACATACACTGGCTGGGGAAAAAAATGAGTTTCAAAAATATTGTTGTCAGGTATAAGTGACTAAAGAATACAGAAAATAATTTTTCAAATATAGGTCTTTATTAGCAGTCTGGGTTAGAGAACTGGGTGTTCACTGTGACTCAGGTTTTCCATTGAGAGCAATAAAAACTTCTAGGTGTTCACAGATTACAAGTTAAAAATATGGAAAGTTATTTATTTACATTACCGAGATGAAATTGAGTTACAGTGGCTAATAGGATAAGTGTTGCAAGCCAGACATGAGAAGAGTGATACGAACCCAATTTACTGAGCAAATTAACTTTGTTAGAACACTTGAGCTGGCACAAAGATAACAGTTTTTTAAGATGAAAACTGCCTGCCTGGCTTGTGTGCTCTGGTGTCTCTCTAATTATTATAAAGTTCTTTAGGCAAGCTTTTTCACCAGCCTAAGGGAGCCAAAAGACGTTGATAAATGAGCAACAGAAATAGAACAAAATCTTGACTTAATGCCCTAACTCTCTTTATCTTAATACTCACTGAAGCAGTTCTGGTTCTTTTGCTCTGTGTAACTAAAATGGTTACGTTTTGCTTCTGCGTTACACAGATGCAACTGATTTGCAAATGGAGCTAAATGGAGTTTTCAGGCCCAAAGAATCCCTTAAAAAATAATGTCCTGGAAAGCAAAGTAGCATATAGCTACTGACCATATTGAAGGGGAGCTGAAGCAGCAGTGTCCACCTGAGGCAGTTCAGATATGGACTGAAATGCAGTTGGCAGGATCCTTTTCAGTAATGAGCTGGTCTCTAGTTCACCTTCTGCCCAAGGATTTCACAGTGCTTTACACAAGTAAGGTGAATGGTGTCTGGCTGCAGTGAACAAGGGTTTTAATATGCCTGTTAGTTCAGAAGGTCTTCTGCTATTTCCAAAAGTGTTCAGTGTGAGAAAGGAGGATGGACTTCAATGAAGTACCCAAGTTTATGCTGCAAATTAGTGGCAAGGTGGGAAGCACCTCACAAACAGTCCCCTCCTGGGATTGTGGGGCTGATCCATCTATCTGAAATTAAAAGAAAGCCAGACCTCTCTGATACATTTAAGCCAATCTGTATTGAGCATTTTGCTACGAGATTCAATTATAAAAAGACAAAGAAAGAAAAATCTTGTAAAGCTAAACTAAACTGTGTTAACAGCATAGTGGTCATTCTTTGATGTGGTGCTTTAGAGGAGCTGAGGCAGAACATGCTGTTCCTGTGCGGTTTAATAATAATAAGGCTGTGAAACATTTTCTGATGCAAAAATCCAAGACTTGTCAACATCTAACACTGGACCTTAAAATCACCAGACCTGAATATATGAAGATGAGCTGTATTAATTAACAGCATCTGTGCTCATTTACACCAGCTAAATGTCTAGCCTAACATTCAATATAAGCGAATTTCTTGTCCCTTCCCAATTAGTTCTATTACAGAATATCTAATTAAATCATATCTTTTAGTAGGAACTAAGAATTCAAGAGCTACTTTTTTTCACTTAATTAGAAGCTCTTCGTCTTGAACTCTTAATTTTCTGAAGAAGATACCCAGCGATTCTTCCTCTAATCCACTTTGGTTACTGAATGAAATGGTTTATTTACTCTTGAATTAGCTCTTGAACTGTACGCTTAGGCTCCAACTCCTCTGAAGAGCTTAGAAAATGATAGGAATCATAGCTGCTTTTCTCCGCACCTCTGGATAAAACCTCTTCAGGTACAGCCTGTGTTTCTTTTGCGCCCAGAGAGACATCTGGATGACCATCAGGAAAGCAAAAACACCAACTACCAAAGAAAAAGATTAAAAAGAAAAAAAAGATTACATGTCATCTTCAGTGTCTGTTTCTATGAAACCAAGAGGGTTTATGGAAAAGTCTGCAGTCTCTTCTGTGGGTAGAGACAAGTTAACTCTACCTTTGCTCTCAGCCTTGCAGTTGCTGAAATACCCTAGCCTAAGGCTCAGCTTCCATGTCAGCATTCACACAGATGATGATATCCCGAACTGTTAGACACACCCTGTATCACCTATGGCTTCATCATAAATCACAAGGCCTCCTACGGCTTTAACTAAATTTTTTTTGGTTTGCTTTTGGCCACGTTTGTTTTTACCTCTGGCTCCCAACCATAGCAGGGAGCTATGCTGCAACTTCCTGTTGCATGGAGGAAAAGCTTGGCCCTGGATCAAGTAAGCAGCAGATGCACGAATACATTTAACTGCCTGGCAGTAAGGTCTTGCAAGGCCTAACAACTATAGTTACCCAGGCCCCTGCTGTGGTTATCAGGAGGCAGTAAGTGATCCCTTGGGAATCTCTCCCTTAGGGCTGAGTGGCACTGAATGGGGAATGCTTTTACAGGTGCTTTTTGCAAATTCATTATCCTTTCTTCCTTAAAATAAGCTGGAGGATCAAAAACATTCATGTGACATCTGGTCAAGTTTTGTTTGGGATAATGACAGCAAGGATGAGTGTGATGCATATGTTGCTGCTCCCTTCCCTTGTAAACGCAGCCCTACAATGTCTCCAAACTTTATGCTCCAAATAGAGCATAAAGCACATAAACATTGCATCTTTTCAAACAAAATTAGAAGCTTTATTTTTGCATAATGCAGTTTAATCCACTTTTGAAATTCCCTTTTCATTTGTAAACCACATGGGGTTATTTTTTTTGTAAGCAGCTTTTATATGTTTTTGGTTTGGAATGGAAAAATAATTAAAAAGTGAACGATTTGGAGAGCTCAGTCCCAAGGACCATATTTGTACAGGTATTTAGGTCTCTGAGGATGCAGGAAAGTACTGAGCAGGAGGTGAAAAAGTGCTACTAGGCAGGCTGCTGTTGTGAAGTGGCTGCCTGCTACAAGCAAACAGGGAACTGCTACCAGGAACGTGTGTCTTTCCTCTCTTGAAATACTATGTACATCTGTTTTCCTCTCCCTGTTAGAAGTGTTTTTTCCAGGTTTACAATGAAAAGAAATTTTATTATATCAAAAATGATTGACCATAAATGAAAAACAGTGACTTTTTTTTTTCTAAATTTCAAAGTCTGCTTTCAGTGTGGAAACAGAAGAGACAATACTTCACAAAAAGCAGAGAGCTGGTTTTGATCAAAAGGTGTTGCAGTAGTGTTCTCACTTTCTGCGCTTTGAAGATTTATACAGTTATGTCAAAAGGGGGATTTGATGGCAATATTTCATATGCTATAAAATTTTGGACAAATTTTATGTTCCCAGGATTCACTTCCCCAAACAACAGCTTAGAGACTATCTTTATTCTGTTCAAACTTACCTGGCAGGGTTTGTGTCATCACTGTGAAACTAATCCAAGACCCAACCTGTTGTAAAGAAAAAGTCACTGTTAATTTTTTACTTTCTGTAAAGCAAAAGGGCAAGTTTTCAAAAGCTCCCCCTTGAAGAAGAGTGGGATATTTTTACTGGGAACAGGCAGGGAAAAATAGCTAGAAAGGAACTCCCCAGTGTGCTGCATGGGGTGAAGAGATGGGTGGTAAATCTTTGGATCACGGGAGTCTGTAGCGGAGAGGAATATACACAACAGTCATGATATTGATGTGAGAGAAGAGAGGGGTCTGGTGGAGAAACAATTGCCAGAGTAAAAAGACTCTGACATACTGAACATAATGATTGATGTGCAGAGGGAACTACATCAAGGTATTGCAGACCCTCTGCAGGCAAAGGCTGAAACAGTAGCTGCCTACACTTTGCATATAATCAGAAGAAAGGCATGTACCTCATACGTATAGTTGGGACAGGAAACCAGAAAGAAGAGCCATGTGAAGGGGTTGTAGGTTGGACTTGGAATACAGGATTTACTTCCTTTAAGAAAGCAAAATAGCAGAAAATTAAAAAAAGACTCAGACAAAACCTGTTTCAATAAAGAGAGGGTGACTGAGCCTTAACCACAACTGACCTATGTAACAGCCATCCCCTGGCCAATGCTTCCAGAGTACAACTTGTTAGAAAAGTTTCAGTGAAATCTTTTCAGACAGCAAAAGCTAGTGAGAATACTGAGCACTTAGTGAACCATATATCAGTTTTTACACAAAAGTCTGGCATGTCCAAAGAATGCAAACTTTGTTCAGCAGAAGAAAGACATGTAGTTTAACGCAGACTATCCAGCAGGTGAGGTCTAAGGGCATTCCTCTGGGTTATAAAGGATGCAGCTCTATCTTATTTAGCCTGACTTAACAATGTGAACTTGTCTCCTTTTGCATCCTCATCCTTCATCCCAGGGTAGAACAGAAAAAAACTCCTGAGCTAACAGGATGACTCTCCACAGCCAATGATAATGGTCACACAAAATGCCACACACGCAATACTTCATTTTTATGTTCTGGCAACAATGCTCTCTTTAATACTTGTAGGCACTGGGAATGTAGATTAATTATCTGGCTCTTGCTGCTTTTAAACCAAATTAGGCTCCTTGAAAAAAGCAACATAAGCACCTGCCTAACCACTGCACATCAAAAGCTTTCCAGAATAGAAACTGACTTCTGTGTGTGAAGTTGATCATACTGTGGTGAAGTATTTTCTTGAATAGAGTGTTATAGTGGGAGATTATACTATTATTATCTGAAAATATATTTTACTTTCTAGTATATATAGTATAATTTTTATTCGCATGGTACAAAAGATACTGAAAACCCATGCTTGGAGCAGCCTTTTAAGAGCATATATATACATTGATGGCTATGTAGGTAGTTATTCGTGGAGTCTTTGTGTATTTGTACATATCTCCATGTGTATCTTTGCACAAGTTGCACATATCTAAAACTCTGCAATCTAGATTAAAAAATTTTGAAACTTATTTAAAATTGAATCTTCTGATGTCAGTCAACAGGATGCTTTAGAGAACTTACATGCTTAAACCCATATTTAAATTACAGTTGTGCCTAATTAAGACAAATTTGCTATAAGCTTTGGAACAACAGTGTTGTTAATGTTGCCTTGACACCACATTCGTTTTGAAAATGTTATACCGATGGCATGGTACCCACTTCATCTTTCTTTATTCTGTGGATGTAGATACATAAATTACTGTATTTCAGAAGATGGATAGGTTGAGTACACTTCAGTCTTAAATAGATAAACAGGAAACAAAGACAGACCTGAATGATTTTGGTGAGCTAAAGCTACATTGATAAAGTGATTTCCAGCTTCACACATCTGCAAGACATTAAAAAAGTATTTTCAGTTGTATGCTTAAAATGCGGCAGTAACTGTACTGCAGTGCATAACCAGAATCCCCCCCGTTACAGCTTAGTCTCTGTATACACAAAATATGTACTAAATGACTTTCCCATGGGAAATGCATTCTGTGATCTTTGTCAAACACACAAGTGTCTAGTGAGCACCATAGGCACAGCCAGGTGTGAAAGCTCATGTTTCACCTTCATAGGGGTCAGCACAGGCAGGCCCTCACTGTGGTTCCCACACCCAGCATGTACAACATGTTTTGGTCTGGGAAGATCAGAGGGGCTGCCTGGAGTCTAAGGAAATTAGCAAGATACTGTCTGAATTGAACGTCATTGTTGTGACTTGGATTTAATCCACTGGTTTTGTAAAGATGTCATGAGTTGTAGTACCTAACCTCTTCCTAAACAAGCTTTCAGAGCTGTTCAGAATAACATCTTTGTTCTGCTGGTTATAGAGTACAATAACCAGTTCTCCAGGTAAGTCATAGAGGAAATTAAAATAGGGTGAATAAAAAGGCAGCAGTTCTCTGAAGAGCAGACTGGTCGAATGGTTAGTAGTCAGGAATTGGTAAATCAAGGCAGTGAATATTATTCTTGTTTCTGCTACTCTGTTTAATGCCATCTTCAGCCCTAACCAAGCTCTCAAACTTGGTCTTTAATATTTAGATGGTTTATACTTTGGATACCATGTCTCCTCACTTGGTTATACAGTACATAATACAGGGTGATTTCAGAGTAGTTTATGGCTTCAGTACTTCAATTACAACTACTGTAGAATCAAAACCAATTACTACCCATACGTAAAGTAGGAACTTGTAGGATAACTACTTTCAATTCCTGGAAAAGAAAGCCTGTTAGTACAACAATCTAATTTTATGGTTTTCATTTCCCCCTGCTTTATGAAGAATACCAAAATGCAGTTTACATTGCAGTCTCAGACTGAACTGGTTTATTCATTTCTCTGTTTGAAGACTGACTTCTCTTTTCAAACTGAAAAAGTGCAGTGTTAAAAAGTTGTGTTTTCTTAAGTCATTTTTCATTCTAAATTTTGGAAAGTTGGAAAAATTAAGAAATGAAAGTAAAAAGGAAGATTGCTAAAGCCTAGAGATGTTAAAAGTATAAAGTCATAAAATTAATAGAAAAAAAAATACAATTGTAATTTTTAAAGCTAATTCTGAAAGTGATCCATAACAAATTTCAGTTAAAAATAATTTAAAGGAATCTGTAACTTAATTTTATATTGAAATGTGACATTATCTGAAAGAACATTTAGACAGCACTGCTGAAGAATTTTGCCTTTTTTTGGCAGAGGGATTTGTGGGGGTTTTGTTAGGAAAGTTTAAATCAGGTCTATTAGCAAAACTGTTTTCTGCATGGAAATGTATTCATGGAGCAAACCCTGCAGTCCTTTTATGTTTTTTAATTACTAACTGGCTGTCATCTATCATAAACACCAGATGTAAAATACTAAATAGCCAGAAAAGGAAATTCTATTATAAAGTACCATATCAGAAGCTGTAATTCCAGCCATAGCAGTAGAAATAATTTTAATTTACATGTTTCCAATTATGAGCTAGGAACATGATTTTTTTATGATTACTATTATTTGAAAGAAGAGTTTTAAAGTTAAAAGCATTTTTGTGAAACACTATAAACACTAAAATGTGCAATGCCCACACCATTGTGGAGCAAGAGAGATTCACTGTAGTTAACAGCTACTAATTTTATCATCAATTCCAAATAAAGCAAGCAAAGGATAATTCTGCAGGGATTTTTATATTCTGTTGTAACTATTCTTATGTCGTTCTTTAGAAATGTGGCTGCTAATGCTCTATATCAAGAAATACTGCTAAATGTACACTAATCCTTAGTATCCCAGATGTAAAATATGAGGCTATGGGAAGCCACACTAAAAAAGACATCATATTTATGATGATAGAATGTTGAAGTCTACATACTATTCTCCCTCTTCATATTCCACATGAGAAAAACATCCCTGCAAAGCTTAGAGTAATTTCTCTAAATATGAGACTCTTTCAGAGGGGCCTGCTGACATGCTTCAGATGACTCAGTACTGTTGTTTACAGCAGCTGCAGGTATATACACTTAAATCAGGGTATGTAATACAGACAAGCCTTTAAAGAAGGGGAACAAAATAATCTTCCAAATATTTTATTTGTATGCTTTAGAAACCTGTGAAAACAGCTTCAGATTATTTTATTTTTCATGTTGCAGGTTTAAGTTCATTGTCTGAGAACCTTCCAGAACAAGGCCTGAAAGGGAAAGGTTTTGAGTTCCCATGGTTAGGAAGTTATCAAAAGAGCTGGAGGAATTTAGACCACACATGAGGTGCTGATGCAGATCTGAAGGGGATGGCCATATTTTATAGCAAATACCCCCAACAGGATTCATCTCTTTGTTTGAAGACAACATTTTTCATAAAAGCTATAACAGGCTGTGTTGCATTGAGTCAAGGAAATTTCATTAGAAAACAAGGTTTTTTCTATGCAGAGGTTTTGACAAGGTTTTACAGGTAGCACTGAATATTCAGGCAAGTGGTTTGCTTGGTTTCAAGTAACCCCTGAGTTTAGTAAGCATGCAGACACAGTAAGGTGCTCTGCACACCACTGTCTACCACTGCCACAGCCTCCTGTCTCCACAGTACAGGAATACTGCTTCCAGCTGTAGAGCCTTACTGAGTGCATGAACTTCATGAGAGTAGTTTTTTGATTGAGTATTCTTTGCTATACCTTATTAGGGCAGGAAAAGCTGAGAACTGCATGGCCAATTCCAGAGACACACACTGCCAAAACCATGATCTTTATGGGTCCTGATTTACAAAACCATTTGAATATTGCTAAGAAGTTGTTGGAATGCTTTTCTGAATAGCGTTTGCCTGAAGGAGCCTAGACACATTACTGTCCCATCTCCCTGTTATATTTCTGGAAACTGATCTGCATCTGATTTTCAGTAAGGCTGACTTGGCTACAGACCCATGCTTGCTTGGGTAAGTTAGCACTGAGCATTTCCAAGATCAATGTGCATGGAGGATGGAAGAGAACGTATGTTCCCATGTAAGAATTTCTTAGTGACTCTCTGTCTCACTATATGGCTATATTCATTCAAATATCAGGTTTAGTAGCCTCAGCCATCCTTTGTCACTTGTCCTTTCCCTTGGCTTAACCCACTTTAGCAGGGATTGTTTTTACTGTTTTTAATAGCTGTTGAGGTTAAGTTATTCCAGGTACACAGTACTACTACAAAGTCTGCTAAGGATGTAATTCTTCAGTATTAAAATACCTTTAAAAAGTGGCAAGTTCCAATCTATCTAAATATAAATGCAGTTAGGAATAGTAATAATTCTGATGATGTTCTCATGGCTATCAGATAGAGTACTTCACATCAAGCTTTTACAGGTAAATAGTACTAGGAGATTCCATGGCCTAGAAACCTTAACAGATTTTCACTAAATCCAGTCAAAGGAGACAAGACTGTGAGCATGAACACACACACACATGTGTATATATATATATATATATATATATATATATATACACACATATATATATATAAATGCATAGCAGCATTACTGCATTTTGCTAAATCATGAGTAATTCTGATTCTACAGTCATTAATAAAACTTTATTTTTGTACATACCAGAAAAGCAAGGGCAGCAAAAGAAACTTGTCTGTAGCCAAATGCTAGAAAATAGAATGAAATTATAAATCGCATTTTACAGTATGCACATGGTTTGATGGGTGAAATTAATCTAGAGCCGTGGGGCAGAAATACTGCTTTCCTGACAGGTTCTGAAGGAAAAAGTGGATATTAACACACAGTATGAAGACAATGCAAACAGTAACAGTACTTGAGAAATGACAGTGTCTCCAGCGCTGATCTCAAGGCAGTTTTCACCTAACTTTTCCTAGTGTTTGTCAGCTTCATATACCCAAAGTGCTCTTGCCAAAGCAGCTGGTGGTGGTAAACTCCTTGGAAAGGCAAGCGGGAGGGGTAAAGTAGAAGAACCAGGTCATTGGCAGAACCAGTCCAGGAATCTCAGCATTATTCATAGGCCCTTCTATCTCCATGGGCAGAGAACCCAAGATGTAACCTATCCATAACTTTTTTCTTTTTTGCTTCCAGTAGTGAGGCAGTAGAGAGGCTTTATTTTATGGCCACTGTCTGCCTCACAGTCTCACCATGCTAGAAATGTATTTAGCTTTTGGAATTTTTACCTGACCTTCGCCTGCTCTCTCCTTTTGGCAATTGTCCCCCGTCCACTGCAGTGCTGTATCATGTTCATCTCCAAAGGTTTACAGGTCTGAGGGCCATGAATCGTGTGTATGTACCTCATTTCCCTAACCAGGTCTCGGAGAGCCTTTACTTTTGAGAGCCCTTTTTCTGGCACATGACTCCTCTGAGTTGCCAAAAATCCTGCATATGCTAAAAATTCTGCATAGCATTCTGCGACTATCTCCTTGCCTTCCCTTACCTGTCCCCAAATCAGCAGTCTCTGGATATGGCTGTGGAGGTCACCTCTCCTGCACCCAAAATAAATCATACATGCTAACTGTGCCAGAGGGCTGGTGATGCTGCAGCTTTAGTCTCATGTAGCTATTATTGCCATTTTAAGGCAGTTGCGAACAATTAGAAGTACTTCTGCATGCTTTCTCTGTTGGAAAGTTATGTCCGGAACAAATGATTCCCTCTATAAAGAAGCTGCACCTTCTGATTTGATGGCCTAGACTGCTAAAAACTGTGTTTAGGGAGGTTTCAGCATTGTTTGCAGCATTACTGTTAAAGCCACACCAAATTCAACTTTCAATTAATCACTTAATTCTTAAATAGAACTTGTGTGTTATTTTGAAAGGAAAGCAAGTGCCATGTAGGAGATTTTTTTTTATTGAAAACAAAAATTTTAATTTAACTGAGTGTAAATAAAAATGGCAAATCAAACCTTTTGTTCCCAAGGCTCATAAATAAGATGCAGAAAAAGGCTCAGGTGTAGCAAGGAAAGTAAAGGAGCAGGAAATAAAATTTATGCCAATTATGCTCAAAAGCAGCAAAATTTCAAAGAGTAAACAAGAAAAAAAAACATAAAGAAACAGCAGTGTAATAATGAAATCTGAGAAGGAATAAAATGATGAATGAAATCTGGAAGCAAAATCATAGGCTTTTTTGTCATTATCAGCATTAATATCTGATTAACTTTTTCTGGTTTCTCACAAAAAATAATCTTAATTTTTATTGAGAGGATGCACCTTTAACAAAAAAATACCTCCTCTAAGAAAATGGAGCCAGCTCTGCTTCAATCCTACATTCTTAATACAAACATTGTGAAGATGAGCAAAATATATCGATCTTTGCATTTTCTCCACTTGGTCAATATTTCCAGTTCACAAAACTAGACAGTGATTGACCCTGACTGAACAGGAACATACATTCAGCAGCACAGCAGGAGTGCCTCATGCACAACAGTCTTCCTTCTGACAGGGAGTAAAAGCTAATCTCTGGCTAGATTAGTCATACGCTCTCATTTGAGAGCCTTCTATTGATTTTGAAGGACTTAAAGTTGCATGCAAAAAACTTTTTAAAAACCAAGGTCAGTTTTGTGTTCTACTTATACATACATGGTGGCGTATATTGTGGGTGATTGATGTAGTATGCAATCCAGGAAGTGAATCCCCAGTAAAAGGCACAGCCCTGGAATGGACAAAAGAGAGGTTTTGGTTTTTTTGTTAGACAGGGCGATAAACAAGTACAAACCATAACTTTATAAATTCTGGTAAGTGCTAAACACAGATGACTGCTGAAAAACTTTGCAGTGGCTTTTTGAGTCACAGAATATAGATCTTTTCTAGATGCTATGAAGCCACTAAAAAAAAGTAAAATGGCACACAGTGTAGATTTTTTGGATTGTTAAATGTATTTTATGCCTTTTGTAGAAATTGACATTTGTTTTCTCCTTATTAGATTCTACTGCTAAAGGGCACATTTCTCAGAGCTGTACTATTAAAAGTCTATGGCTGGTTAACACAGCTGAACTGCTACTATACCTTAATCTCAACATTTCCAAGAAATATAGAACTAGCCAAACAGAATGCTAAACCAGCTAAGACGAGTAAAACTAAAGAGGCTTTTTTTAACCCTGGCAAAAAAATGGCATGCAGTTCCTATAAAGATATTTGAGCTACATACTGCATCTACTCCCATGGATCGAGGCCCACTTCATCTTCTTGTTAAAAAGCAGTACTCCAGCTGCCTTTGCTTGATGAATGAAGTCATGGGATTGGGAAAGCCCAGAGATAATGTGATCATATTCTTGGTCTGTGTAGAGGGGGTTACTGCTCTCGTCCTTTGTACAAGGGCAAAACCAAAACCCACCAGCCAAAGAACTGAAACCACCCTGGAGACTGCAGAAAGCCTTTCTATGTGTCTAAGCTAAGGATCCTGTGCTCAATACCTTCTTGAGAAGAGCAGTGTGCTGGGACTGGATACAGCTCTATCCCATAAGTAGGGCTGCAAGTCAGGCTTTCTCCTTTTAAACTTTTTATCCAGTGCCACACAAGGGGATAATCGTAACCCTGAGTCTTTAACTCCCACATGCATGAATCACTTTGGAAATGGCACTCTGGTTCCAAAGCTCTTTAGCTTTCTCTAGCTGTGCATCTCATTAGCTCCTTTCTGACTGGAACTGAGTCAAGCCCCCTACCATGGCCATACATTTATATCCTTCACTAAAATCTTAAATGTATTGCAAAGCTTTTAAAGGGAGGATCTTTACATCACACTGAATGGGATGGGAAGTCAGGTGATATAAAATTACCAAGACAGAGTATGTGAAATAAAAGAAAGTAGAGCCTGTAAGTAATGACACACAGTTGAAACTGGGGAGGCTTTGGGAGACACAAGACTTTAGGTCACCTCAGTATCTTTCTTCCTGGGGCATCCATCTATAGAAGGAGAGTAATTATTATTTTTTTTCCATCTGTAATTTGGTTTTCACTTCCTAATGCAAGCCTGTCTCATGCTCTATATTTATATTGCACTGAGGAAGTAGAGTGATTTCTGTCAGCATTACTAGATGTTGCAGCAGCATATCTCACAATAAAATAGTATTCAGTCTGACAAATATCCTAGACATGACATTCAGTCCCTTGGGTGGATGAGTCAAAGTGGACATTGACATGCAGGAGCAAAAGCTGACACTGATTTCAGTTCATGTCCTTGGGGACATGGCCCTGAATTTTTTCCTATATTTGTATTTTGACTAATTCCTGGAGCTAGAAATAAATTGTTTTTTATTCTTCTGTCTTCTTCCAAGGACTGCTTTGATATGGGAATATTATCTCTTACAGGAAATGATAAACATATTGTCACCTTTATCATATTTTTCAGAGGAGTGTGCCCTCCCGAAAACTTGTGAACAAATAACGTCTCCAGAAGATGTCTGATGTAGTGTAAACAATGGCAGAAGCAGGCCAAGCTGGAAGGGAAAAAAATCAACGTGAGTGGAAACTGCTTTTCATTACTTCACAATTTAATGTCACAAAAGGAGTAAGGACTAAAATCCTAAAACCGCAGTCACACTGAATTTGTTAAGATATTGTCTTAATTGAAGCATCTGTATCCAAAGATTAATGGAATCATTTTCAATATTATAAAAAAGTTTTTTTCATTTTGCAGACAAGCAACTTATTTTTACTAGCCTTGAATTAAAGAGTTTTTTGAGCTCTGAATGAGTTACATATTTTTGACAAGACATTAAAACAGGACAGCTGTGTATAAAAGCAGGCATCTGCTGTGCTTTTCCAGAAGATGTCTCCCATGTTTTAAGGCCACCTTAATACTCCTGTAGAATGTATCTGACATTTAAAAACATTCTGAATATCTTCTGAATGGTTTCCTTGTCCTTTGCCAACTTGGCTAGCTGCATGGAGGTAGTTTGTATTTCATTTCCTTGTGGATGCAAAATGAGATTTTGTTGCAAAGTTAATCTATGCTGATGGCTTTTTTGTTGCTCTTTACAATGAAATGAGGTAATTGTTGTAGAAATTATTTTACTGATTCTTTTTTGAGGAAGGTTATGAAACAATAACAGGCGTTGATGATTTGCTTCCGAGAATAAGTTGCAGCTCATAGAGATTGAGTTTCAGAAACAAATGTCAAGAGTGATTCCTGGTGGCATTTTATCTTGGTTACATTTACCATATTACCAGAGCCTGTCTCACAGTGAACCAATTATAAGATATAAATGAAAAGTGGTTTTCAGCATATGAAATCTCAAAGAGTCAAAGATTAAACAATTTCAAAGTAATTAAACCAGAGAGAATTGAACTAAGAAAATTTCAAACAATTAACGACTTATCTAAAAGTCTAGAGCAAACTTTAAGCTTTGCTGGGAATTTTAAAATTAATTTGGTTTAGGATGACAACCTCAGATGAACTCATTAAGGGGCAGCCACTGGGAGGATTCCACACATCCCTTGCCCACTTAAAATAAGGTTAAGGTATTTCTAACTCTTCTGTGCCATCAGAAATTATCTTCCTGTGAATGTATGAGCAAGAAAAGGAAGTTAAGCATCTTGCACTCTGGATTTGAATTCAGCTATTCTGTGTTCTTTCCCAGTTCCATTAACTCCCTTACTGTATGTATTTCCAAGTCTCTGTTTCTCCACCTGTAAAAGGTATTATTACTCACTGTGTTTCTCTGCTGTATACCAACAACACTGATTCTGCAATCATAGCATGGAAAAAGTGTTGTGGGAAAGCTGTACAGTTTGTTGAGGCTCCTAGTTCTCTGTGTGCCCTCCCACTTCCAGTGCTCCAACTTGTGCAGCCAACAGGCTTTTCTTTATCATGTTCCACCCCTTTGCCAGGCACTAGTCCTCCAGAATGGAGACAGTCACACTGAAGGGAATTAAGCTCCTTAAGTGTGAAAGTTCCCAGCCTGCTTGGTGCATTAACCACCATCCTGTGGAGGGGTACAGTTGGTGGTGGAAGTGCCTTGATCATCCCTGGGAGTTACTGTGAATAGTGATTGCCACTTTCTTATCTGCAAGAGTTTTTAATCCCTCTCATTCATCAAGTCTGCTTTGTTTTTTCCAGAGTCCTGCAGAAGGTTTGGGAATGGCAGGGGCTGTTGAAGGTCATAAGAAACTATCTTGGCTGTCTGTCCTCTCTTCCTTGCTTTTTTGGCACATTTTTGCATGCTAGAAGACTAAGCAGGTTGTGTTTCATTGTGGTCAGCTCCTGCTGTATTATATCAGAGCTGTTTCATTTTCCTTGTTAGCATTACTGTTCCACTGATGGAAGGAAGCAAAGCTATCTGGTTTATGCTTATATATGAGCTCCTCTGATTTATTTCTGTACAACCTGTTCTCTTCACTGTTTTATACTGCTAGCTGAGCTCTTATTTTTATTTGTCACTTAAGTTTTTTTATTTCTAAAAAGTCTTTCAGAGCACAAACATGTAAAGTATGGTCCAACAGAAATAGTTCATTTTGAAGAGGTTAGTTTCAAAAATCAAAGTACCAGTTCCAAATTCCTATGGTGCTTCTTTTGAGTTTCTCAGTTTTTCTTGTCCTGACTTATGCCATGTAGATCTCTCAGAATTCCTCCTTGTGCCTAGGCAAGAGCTAGCGTGGAGGTAATTATCTTCTGTGCTGAATGCTGATGCTACTCATCTTATGAATGGGAATGTGCTGTAAGGATACTAGGAGTAGGACACCTGAAGTGTTGTCCTCTCTTACCTGTCAAGTGTGACTTTGGATGACTACTGCTGTAGGTTTTATTTCACCTTATGCTGTGAGTCTAGAGTGAAGACTACTTGGGGAAAATACTACACCTTCCACTGTGACGAGGTGCAGTGACCATTGCAACTGGGATCCTGGTTTTGGTCAGGCTTTTGAGTGCTGCTAGGATAACAAATGGCTATTGATAATAACAGTCTGAAACTCCCACTGCCTCTGAGACATTGCATGCAGCCTCAGAGTCTCTGTAACATTTTCAGCCCTGGAAATGCAGTCTCCATCCCTGGCTCCTTGTCCTCCAGGAAGATATTTCACACAAGTATCACTTACTGAACCACTGGGTGCCGAAAGTTCTTCTTAGTTTCCACATGATCATAGATAGTTGAGAGGCGAATGTAAAAGAACAGATATATTAGAAGAGGCCCAGTGTTTTCTGTTAGAAAAAACTAGAAATGAAAAAGAAAATAGATGTATCAGAGTAGGAAATTGTACTAATAAAGGCAAGAGAAAAAGAATACCCTTATCCACAACACGTACTTGTCCTTTGAATGTATCTAGAAAATGAAAAAGAGATTTCTGTGCAGAACATTAACCCAGTCAGGAATACTTCCTGGAAGGCAGTCACAATCACTGTTATCTCCTCTTTGTACTTTTGGCTGTGCTATCGAATGCCTATTAGGAATCTAAATAACACTGAAAATTGTGATCCAAAAGCTGAAGACAGCTTGCTTTTCACCAGTGTTTTTTGTAATTAAGTGTTCCATCAGATAAAACCCAGCCAAGCATGACAGAGGCAAGTATAGCTTTGAATCCTGGTTGCTAGCAGAGTCACCAGGAAGGGAGGGTTCATTGCTTGAAATTTGGTGGCTGGTGCAGGAGCAGGACCTGCCTGCCTGGTGTATGGCCCTTTGAGCCTGTTCTTCAGTGGCTGAGTGGAACTAATCCCTGTACAGAAGAAGAATCCTGTGGTGGGCAGACTGAACAAGTAAGTTATGCTGTAAACCAGAAAGAAATAGTTTCATCTCCACATTGTCACCCCTGCTAGCCATAGAGAGCCAAGAGGACATGTGGGGGCACAGACAGAAGGTAGAGTTATAGTGCTGCCAATTAGCCTCCTTCAGTTTTACATTCTGGCTTTGATTTGGTGCACCCTGTATTGCCTTTTGTCAGAGCACACTCTTAAGCTACAAACAGCTGGAAGAAGGAGAACATGGTTAGAGTGATATGAGGCCTGGATTTGATCATCTGTCCCCACTGGAATGAATCTCAGAATAAAAAGGAAATGGTGTAGTCCTACATATTTACAAAGACCAGCAACTGGCGAATCATAACTCAAGTGCATAGTATTGCTTAAGGGGTAGAGAGTCATAACTAATGGGCCATTTGGCTTTAAGGTGGCTATTTGCACTGCTATGGAATTGTAATGTATAAATACCTGTGGCTTAAGGAAGCAACAGCAAATTTAGACTACCTTTCTTAAAAGCAGTAGTTGGCAGGCAGTCTGAACCCCAGTAGGCTATTCTTCTAATCACTCTTCAGAAGAACTTTGAAACAGAAAGGTTTACCTGCAGAAATACTCTGCAATTAGATTTCCTTCATTTGGGACCCCAGTACCATTTCTTTCCCCTATTACAGCAGGAAACTTCTTTGACATTTCAGCCTTTCATATCAGGACTGTCTCCAAAAGTATCATTCTTAAGTGCTCTCTATCAAGGAAATGTAAAATTCTCTTTTTTTCAGCGTGACACCATGATTTCTGCGCTCCATTTAGGCTCTGCAGGATCCCAAACGTGGTGGGGGGGATGTATGGAAACATTTAATCAAGGAGTTTCTAAGAGCCCACATTGTTGTGGAACACATCACAGCCAAGGGCTTATGAGAATTTTGTCCTAATAGCAGTTGTATGGGCCTATTTCTAACTGTGAGCCCACTGTGTTAGGCACTCTGCAATCACTGGTAAGAGACAGCCTCTGCTACGAAAATGGGATACACTAAGTATAGACAATGGTGGCATAGAATACAGAGATGCAGATTGTATGGTCTGGACAGGACAGTGTAAGAGCTTTGGAGTAAACTGCTTTCTTCAGTGTAGCTTTTCCTCTCAGCTGTTATTTGCACCGCAGAATACACCTGTAACTGCCAGCTTTTATCATCTGTTTGGCATGAGCATATTACAAAGCTGCCAGGAAAAGTCTGGCAGGACTTAGCACCAAATTGCGGTTACTTGTCACTGCATCAAGTGTTCCCCCTTGCTCCCTGGCTGATTTCAGATGCTGTAGGAGAAGGAAAGCTTCAGGATTCAGTAAAAAAAAATACATTCTGTATTTAACAGCCAAAGCTACCAGCCTTGTGATAAATACCTGTGACTGGAGGAGGAGGTGTTTTTGATGTAGGAACGGGGATGCAGAGCCTCCCATCACAGCAATTCAGAGAAGCAGCAGAGAGCACCAACAGCAGCTCTTGAGCTGGGATTTCTGGAAGTGAGCAGCATCAGCATGCTAAGGGTACTTTACAGGCTGGGTACGAGGTCCTGTCTTATCTGTATGTCAGTCGCAACTGACACAAAGTGTTTATCACCCATGTGGAGGCAGGCAGCCCAGGGTCAGCTGTGAGATTTGCAAAGTACTTATTGTCTGACAGATGACTGTCTGGCAGGACTGTGTTTTCCTTTGTCATAACTGCATCACCTGGCTGGAACATAGGTAAGATCAGTAACATTCTGGTTTACAGGATGAGATTCAGTTTGCTGTAGTGTTTTTCTTTGGGTTGGGTTTTTGGGGGAATTTTTTTTTCCCATTTTGGGTGAGTTTCAGTCTGTTTCCCTCTGTTGCATCTCCCATGCTGCAACCTCTGCTCTGCTTCTCCAGCTCACTGATTTTAAATTCATGAGAAATGAAAAGTGAGTTCCAGTAGGGTAGGCAGAGAAATTCTGCTAAAAATCCCAGGAGTTCAAGCAGGTGGAAGGGAAAGTACTCTTAAATTAACACAAAATTACTATCAGTTCAAACTGCTGAGAAACAAAGGCAAGCACCATTCTTTTACCATTGATTCTTAATGAATATATGCAATTAAATCTACCTAGTACCTTCATACTCATTCTATAGCTGACTGCTGGCCTTGGGGAGTTATTAGATGTGTTGAGGATCAGTTCATTATATCACTTTTACAGATGCTCAAAACCCCTACAAAATTACTAAGATACTAGTTCCTGCTAATATATCTTGCAAAAATTATAAAAATATTAAAGAAAACCCTGAAAATAATAACATATTGTAGTTTATGGACAAAAGAAATATAATTTTGTAACGAAAAAAAAAAGCGCTTATTTAAAACAGAGCATTTTTCTTCCGTAGAAATGCAAAAAGAATCCAGTATTTGAAAAAAATTACTTTTTCTTAACCATCTTGTGGGTCTGCCTAGATTATTTTGATGTATTTGGTACAGGCAAATGTGGTGGTCCATAGTAAAAACAAAGATCTTTTCCTGAAGGAGCTTTACATCTCTATTACAGTGTACATAGCTCAACAGAATTTAACTGCTGAGCTCATCATAAACTCTCTGAAGAAAGAAAACAGAAGATTGTCCATTTTTTTCCACATCTATACACTCTATTTTATATCTTGCGTAATGTCCAGTTCTTTTATCTTCTTTCTCTCCTCTCCAGTGTCTGGCATTATGTATGCTACATACCTGTTTTTCTTAGTGGCATAAAGTGATGTTCTTGAATCAAACCTCTCCCAGGCGTGAGCTCATTACAGGGCGGTAAACTCAAGCTTCTTTAACTGTCTCAGTTATCAGGTCCTTGGGGAACTGATTCAGTAATACCTAAACTGTAAACCCCTACTACATACACAACAAAACAGACTGGTAATACATCAAAAGAGAGCTAAGGTGGGGTCTCCATCATTCAAGAGATGATGAGACAAATGAGAAAACAATACAGGATAGCCAATTCGCAAACCAGCGAGGCATCTCATCTTTCGTAAGCCAGACTGCACATGCTTCTACTATGTGTGTTTAAGGCCAGGTTCGTTGGGCCTTTGAGCAACCTATACTAGTGGATGGCATCCCTGTTCATGGCAGGTGATTGGAACTAGATGAGCTTTAAGGTCCTTTCCAATCCAAACCATTCTGTGATTCTATGATCTCTGTTCAGATAATCATGCCAGTAACACTTTGCTGAACTGAGTAACAATCAGGTCAGGAATTATAATTCCAGACCTTATGAGGCAGGAGGTATATTAGGGAGATATGAATGCAGCAGAGGCAAAAGGAGCTCTCTAAAATTATTTAAGGGAATGTGAGGTGACTTTTCTGGCTGACATAGTGCCTGGGACCATCCCAACAGGCCTGCTACAGGGAATGGAAAGGGTTTTGATGTGAGTTAATAGTACTGTGTGTACTGCTTGGAAAAATGCAGAAAAAGACAAAAAGAAGCTAGAAACAGAGTGGGTGGAATGGAGGGAGCCTGAAAAGAAGTCCAACAGAATCCTTATAAATGAATGGCCTGTGGATTAGCAGTCTTCACATAAGGGCATCAGCTAATTACTCTCTGTAATGTTTACGACATGCCCTTTCAGTAATACCACACAACATACCCTATCTTGTATCATATTGCCTTTTGGCATAATCTCACATTATCTCATTTATGACAAGCTGCAGAGCAGAGCTGAGGAAAGGCCATACAGTCTTTTCCATACTCATCCCCTCCTGCAGCTCTTTCCATACCATGTAGGGTCACTTTCCCAGTTCATCGGTGCCGGCTGTGATGTTTTCTATTCCACTGCCAACAGGATGTCTGGGTTCATGCAGGGGAAGCAGAGGGCATGGTATGATGATGACACCTGCAGCCAGGACAATGGCTTGTGGTCATTGCCTGAAGCTCTCAGCACAGTGAGAGATACAAAATAGCATGAGCGTGTCCTGGGTAACTCTGGAAAAACAACTGCAGTATATAAATTATATATCAGACAGAGCTCAGTTTCTCTGATAAATGTGAGACAAAGGCACCAGTTTCAGGTCTGAGCCAGGGTCAGATTGAGACAGTAGGTACCGCATAAAGAGCAGCATTACTGATATGAGACAGGCAATTACTATGTGTGAGTGTATGCAGCACAGCTGGGATTTCTGAGAAACCCAAGAGAAACAGGGAGTTGAACACCCTCAAGTCTCCAAATCATATTCAACTTTGCCTCTAACTAGCATAGACTCCCTTTACAATAACAGCCCTCAGTGCTCTTAGCTAATGATCATTAAGGAACATTATTAATTTCTGGAATAATTTCTACTTTGTATGCTTTGCTACCTCATTAAAGCCCATATAGTTACCTGGATATGATAAAGGCGTAATTTTAGCAGCACCTCTTAAATCTTCACCTCTTTAAATTTTGTATTTGCATGTTTGCAAACATCTGCAACAGCAGCAGCTCTTTTGCATCAGGTAGTA